TTGTCATTTGCGAACACTAGCGCACCTAGCGGTAGAAGGCATCTTCTGCCTGCAGTTAAGATAGGCAGCATGCTATGATAGTGTGAGTGCACATAGAAAGCCCGTGTGGAACGCTACCACAACACATCGCTTGTTGAGCAGAAAAACGAACCATTTTTGATTCACCGATTTGTTTGCACTTCCCCTTCTGTTCTGTGACGCAGTTCAAATGGAAAGGGTGCCGAAGAAAAAGAGACTGCCGACAATAGTCACTCTCACCTGAGAAGTTTGGAGCGTTGTAAAAACATGTTCAACCCGTTTTGATTAATTCTGTTGATTGGAATTGGTAGAACAGCAAGCAGCAGATAAATGTCAACAAACAAACCTGTCATGTATGCGTGTCACGCTGAGAAATCGTTAATAGAAGTTCGGACGCTGCTTAGATTGACGAGAATACGTAAATTCCCCTATGTCAAAGTCCGGCATTATCTTTGGCACAGAAACCTTTTGACGTGTCAGAATCTTGTCATTTCTTGCAAGAGTTTTATCATATTGTGTTTAAATTTAATAGGTATCAGCACTCGGTAACAAATATTTCAGGATATCCAGGACTTAAATAGGATGGGATTTTCTTCCTCGGGGCTGTTCATTAACTACGTAGACATTTTACGGGGGGGGGGGGGGGGTGGTAGTTCGACAATTATCAACGGCTCGTATAAATTAAAAAAAATGTTGTATGGACAATTGTCTACGTAGGGGGGTCAAGAATCCTAAGAACCGTCTGCGTAGTTAATGAACAGCCCCTTATCAACGTGAGTGCATTAGGATGCTGCACGCTGACGTCACGAATGAACGCGATGAACCCGAATTCATCAGTTTGACATCCAGTGGTGGTTTGTTTACCTTTGCTTGTTAGTCAGTTCCAGTGGATTTGAGGTTTTAAATAAAAAGAATTAAAATATATGATATCCGACTATGTTCGTTTGAAAAATATTCCTCTTCAATAAATCTAAAAAAAAAATAATAAATTTTTTAAACTTTTTTTTCTAAGTCCATGTAAACAAACCACTGCCAGATGTCAAAAAAGTGAGGTTACCTCGACGGTGCAGCTCCCTATACAAACGTGTTCAACGCTTCATTTCTATAACGCCTAGCTAGACTATCAGCAAGAAATGATAATGAAAAAGAAGCACGCTTAGAAGGGAACGCTGGCTGTGGATCTTCTCGTCGTGCTTTGCTCATCGCTTTCAATGTAAGTAACGTCGATTTTCTAGTTAAACGAAACCTCATTATGGCTTTCAACCCCTTTCACGAACACTCTATCACCGCTCTTTCAATTTGTTTAAAATGCGTTATGCCCCGTTTTCGTTAATTTATTTTTAGATAAATATGTGGATGGAAGATAAATTAAACATATTACGTGTAATCTTCAAGTGTTTTCACGTGAGAAATGCTTTAAATGTGTTATTTCATTTTCCGTCATATACGTCATGAAACCTCTGTTGATGTGTTTCACGAAAGAGAACACTATCAAAGTCGAGCGCTCTTTCGCTCATCCGTTTCACCGAAGCTTGACAGGAAGACCAATGGAGCGACGGGAGAAAGAGAGACAAGCGATTGAACATTTGTTTGTGCACGCCGACTGAGGTTCTAGAATGCTGCGAAGCTGTTCGACTTTCACAGAAAAAGAAAGCCAGCAGTCTCTTCGTCGCATGTGGGTAAAAATCGATTTAATTTTGACTGAAACTAGCTAAGAGTGTAATGTTTACGCTGGCAGATTTTCATCACAATCTGTCAAGTGGTTATCGAAATGGCATCGGAGCAAGAGCAGATCCGGCAAAAAATCTTGTGCGCCGTCGTAAAAAATCCGACTGCGTCCCACAGATGGATCGAGAAACACCTGGGAATGCATCATACGACGATTTTCATTTTACATTTTACCGGGTGATGAAGTTATTCAAGGAGACCCAGACGACCCAGTGGTGGGCAGGCTGCGGCAAAAAACCGAAAACAGCTGACCCGGCCGAATCTATCGATCCGCGATGCGGCGAAGAATGCGGATGTTTGTATCTGGTCCGGAAGGCACCGAATCGGAACGACAAACAAATCACGGTGGCCAAAACCCCCGCGCCAGGAAGCTAAACCGTGAGTGGCTGACAAAACTGAGGTGCGTCGTAATTGACGACGAGACTTACATACATCAAGACAGTTGCCGGGGCAGGAGTTTTACGTTGTCACATCATGGTTGGCCGTGTCTGAGGAGGTAAGGAGGAAGTTTTAGGCCAAATGGTGAAAAATGTATATTAGATTCGTATGAAACTGTGCGTAATTGTTTGTCATGAGTGGTATCGATCAGAAAAGATCAATAATATCAATGATTTCACCATGCACAAATCAATAATAGGTTTCTTCCGATGCGTTAGTTCATTAGCTACAACATAAATCCTGTTAGAGCGCATTGTATGAATATTTACGCTCATTGTTCTCAAAACAAAAGAAGCGCTCCTAGCGAATCCTCTTTTTCAACGTTTATCCGTAGGACGAAGAAAATCTAATGACGTTTCAATGCGTTAGGACGGAATTTGAATTGAAGAAAATCTAATGGCGTTTCAATGCGTTATGACGGAATTGAAACTCATAGAACGAATTTAGAATCAGGAAGCAGTATTAGATTTTAAACAATATCTCAACAATTTGTGACTCTTTGTCAAATCCAACGGTACGTATGGAAAGGTGAATAAATTTAGAAGTCATCTTTGACAAAAATATATCATTTTTTGTTTAAACTCGTTCAGAAAAGAGAGGTAAAGCGCGGGTAAGACGGAAATTAGATCGAAAACCCTACATTTAAAAATTAATAAAATTTGGCCAATTTAAATCTTGTAAATTTTTCAAAATGCGTCTTTCAAAATTTTTAACAAATTGTGGCATTGAAACGGCATTTCTGGTCGAAACAAAGTCCAAAGTTGTAGAAAAAATAATGTCTTTCTGGGAAAAATATAAAAAATTCAAACCCAGATGAGATACGTCTTTGCAGATTTTTGAAAATTTCTTTCCAAAAAAAAGCTTATGATGAATGCAAATTGGCGTGGAACTGGTCAAATGGTACGCTGAATTACAGTAATGGATAAAAGAATTAAAAAAAAAGACCAACGAATCTTAAATATGGAGTGACATGATGTTCTGCTCAGTAAGCACAAACGGTCGCTCTAAGGCCACTGAGCCACTCATATTACATCACACCACTTTTGATCGAGTTGTTGTAGCCATTCAAACCCGGCACCGACAAAAAATGATGACAATTTATACAAAAACGGTGAGCAAGCATTGTGACTATGAAACTCTTTAATATGATGCCATAATTTTCTGCTCAGTAAGCAAAAACGGCTGTCTGAGGCAGCCGAGCCCTCCATATCACAACACACCACTTATGATGGAGTTAATGTTATAACCGGATATTTATTTATTTAATTATTTTCTTGTGAACAGGTAAAATATTCACTCCAATGACAGTAAACTTACTATACAAATTAACATAAAAATCTCTTAAAATTACACTTTTTATTCGAAAACAGGTAAAATTGAAGTCAAATACATTGTTGCATCTGTTGAAGATGCGAAACATCATCCGCATGGGCTCGTTTAATCAGAGTTGATTCGTAAGGGATGGATGTTCAAGAAGGCATGCGATCGTAGATTACAGCGATGGGTATCGATGTCGATACTACTAAGCAGCATAACAGCAGTAGTATATTTCCTTGGAGAAGATCACCAACGAAGCTCGTCATTGGTACGTTACATCTTGTATCCAACAGCTCTAAGATCCTTCCAAAGAAAATGCCTTACTTTAAATAATTTGTCTCCATTTATTTTCAGCGTCCTTGCTTAAGATATTGCTGAAACATGCTCCATCTCCAAGGTAAGACAAGTCGTAAATAACCTCCCCCTTACTTCATTCGTAGTTTTGTCATGGCACGTTTTGTTTCGAATGCGCTGAATTAGGCGGTTCGCAGAATTATGGCGGTTTACGGTAGATCTTGAAAAAATCTCTATCCGTTGTCTCGAAAACATTCCTGAAACCCTCTTTAGATAGCCTAGTCAGATGAGGCACGGTTATACCAAGTCAGAAGCGGAAATCCTAGAATGTTTCAAATGATGCCGAACATCACGATTTAATGAGGATTCATGTAATACCTATTTTGATTGATAAGAGACATATCACAAAATATCAATGTCGCAGTGGTTATGACTCGAACAGAGGGGGGAAAAAGTTGAAAGCTTTTAAGAGCCAATTTTCCAAATTCTGGAACACAAAAATTGATTTTAAACTTTAAGGGATTTAGATCTCGGACGTTAGCAAAATTGTTGGCTGCAGACTTAGGAAAATTATTTAAATTGTGTAAGTGGAAACATGCTTTGGTTCTCGGACCAAATATATTTTATGATTCTGAAAAAAAAATCCAGCTACTGCATTAGATGGGGCTGGGAGGATTGGCGGAGGCACGATTCTAAATGTTAAACCTCTATCTCCAGCAATATTTATAAATTGAACCCGAACAGTCCGATGTAGGTGGTTCAACAACAATATCTATAGTGTTCATCCAACCTTGGAGTATTATTGTCCTACATGCTGAATGCTAGGTGAAAATGGGCGAAAGTGATAATTTCTGAAGCTTCCTGGAATTCCTACGATGTGACACAAATATTGCACAGCTACTAAACGGAAAGTAAGTGTACGTGAGAATACATCTCATGCAGAATGATGTAATGCTGTCATATGCGCACAAAAATGAAAGATGTGACTGTTAGTAATGAATGAGAAATATCATGATCGTGAAAATGATTCCATTAGCATGCATCTACACCAACCCAAACAAGCACGTGCCAATCAACAATCTATACAATTTATCAATGTTTGTCTGGCTCCACCACTAGCTGGATATGAATGCGACATTAGATTGTGGATAAATAGACGTAATCGATAGATTGCAACAAATATTTTCATTGGAGTAAAAGGATACGGTCTGTGCCGGGAAATAACGTTCGACCCGTCAACAGTTCTGCCATGATGCACCCAACGGACCAAATGTCCACTGTTTGATTGTAGTGCATCCAGTTGAGCATGATCTCCGGCGCTCGGTACCATCGGGTTGCCACGTAACCGGTCATTTCGTTCTCGGTGGGACGAGCTAGACCAAAGTCTAGAATTTTAAGTTCACAATCCTCGTTAACTGCAATGTTGGACGGCTTCAAATCCTGCAACGAGAGTGAAATAGTTACAACTAACTGAAAAATCGATTCTCTCAACCCGTGCCGTGGAAAATCCTAGTGGTATGTCGAAGTAAAAGTGGCTAGACATAAATAATGATTGGGAGTAATTTACTTTTATGCTACTCACTACAAACCATGCTAGTGACGATTATAAATCGATAAATGAAAAGAGCATTAAAGTTCTTATGGCTCTCACTTACCCTATGTATAATACCAGCACTGTGTATGTATTTAAGGCCACGCAATATCTGGTAGACTAGAAACTGTACATGGTCGTCCGAGAGACGTTGTGTTCGAATAATGTTATTTAAGTCCGCCCCCATCAGATGGGTGACCATGTAGACCTGCTGGAAGGAATCCAGCGTATTACCTCCGGGATGGAATACGTCCAGCAGGCCAATTATGTTCTCATGGTTCATGTGCTTTAACATGCGGAGTTCGCGATAGGTTCGTTTGGCATGTACTGCTGACTGGAAAGGGCGCGCCAGTTTTTTGATGGCCACCTTTACGCTGTGCTGTGTGTCCGTTGCAGAACTGTATTGAAAGGCAAAGAGAAAAAAATAGCAGTTAATTATAGTTCTGAGTGGTAAAAGATTGACTTCTTTGAGCCGATCGCCTCAAGAATAGTGCGTAGACTTGTTTAATTAATGTATTTGCTGTTGTAATTGCACTGTCATAGTGTGATGGTGCGGTTGAAATCGGAACAGATTGATGTTGCTTGCAGCTAAACTTGGGTGATCCATCATCATGACACTGGTCGCAAAACTTTAATTGGTTTTGTCGGTAAGTTCAGCTAACGTTTGGATACGAAAAAAATGCTAACTGTTCACAAAACTGATAACAAGCTAACACTACTTAAATTATATTTAGAATACAGTAATGACCCGATTTTAACAGTATGCTCTACGAAACCCATGCGCTTTTTCAGAGCACATATTGCACCAAAGCATAGCTTAAACATCTATCTTGAAGATGATTGAGAAGGATTTGGAATTACGGATATGTGAAATTATTGAAAGATAAAATTCTGATTCAAGGAGGCGCTGGAAAAATCGAGGCATCACTGTAATTGAACTCCAAGAAAAACATGGTTCACGTTTTCAAATCAATGTCCTTAACAATACACGCTACACAAATTTATCTTACATCCAATGTAAGGTTGGATTTATTACATCCTCTGCATATGGTTCATATAACAAATGTAATTGCAATGGACGGCAGCATACAAGCTTGTTTTTCTTTTCAGAATGCACATTTTTGTTTAAAACCTTCAAGAGATGATTTTCTAGATGTAATGAATTTGGGAAAACTTTGTTCAAAAAATAAGTTAACATAAAAATTATAAATTTATTTTAAAAACCTTCCAGCGACCATGCTATGTCGTGAAACATTGTAGATTCTGGTGAGCACATTTTCGTTAAAATATCAACCGTTAATCAACGTCGTTAAATTTTGACTAACTATTTAGGGGTTTCGTTAAATATTAAAAGCACTAGCGAATTGATTAATGATTGTTAAATTATGCTTCGTTAAATAATTCGTTGATTTCCTTTAAAAAAAGAACTTAAAGCTTTTGTCTGTATAATATCCACAATATTATTTTCAGAAGCTTTCCTCAATCGATAAAGGCGTAGCTACAAACCAAGACCATGCTGGAAGAGGTGGCTGGGTTCGATTCCCGGTTTGGAAATTTTTCGGGTTGGATAATTTCTCGACTTCTCTGAGCATAGAGTATGATTGTACTTGTCACACAATTATACTAATGCAAAAATGGTACAGGCATGGAGAGCTCTCTATTAATAACTGTGCATCTAGAACATTATGTTGAGAGCACACAATGAGCTGATATGCGATAAGGAATAAACTTGAAATACGAAAAAGTTTTCAGTACTATTTAAGTAGTTTTTTTGAAGTTATTCAGGTCATTCCACCTTGGATGATACAATATAAAGCTTGAGTCATTTAACATCTGGACGCACTGGTCGAATCTGGAATGTTTTGACAGCAGTTTGTTTTGAAATGTTTCTTCGTTCAGTGCTGAAAAGTTCGTCACGATTCATTTTGTTTAAAAGAAGTTATACTTGATGGAAGCCGTGAACCGAAAATTAATTTTGGACACTCACTTGGAAAATCCAACGTGGTCAGGTTAAAAAATCGCGAAGTCGATGAAATTGGTTAAATCGACCGTGTGCAGTCTTCTCAAACGTTCCCGTGAGCAGCATACTATCTAACGGCAGGATCATAGCAAGCATCGGAGTGGAGCTAAGGATCGGAAGCTGCATTTGCAGGTGTTGAGAACGGTTAGGGCAAACCCAAGACTGTTGGAATATGATATCGCCATAAAATTCAATGCCAACCAAAGCACTGTCAGAAGGATTCATCAGCGAGAAGGATTTCGATCTTTTCGAGCCTGTAAGCAGCCAAACAGTACACTGAAGCAGAATCTAGTTGCCAAAAGACGGGCCCGGAAGTTGTACAATGAGGTTCTTATAAAGTACGAAGGATGCATGCTCATGGACGACGAAACGTACGTGAAGATGGATTATGCACAGCCTCCCGGACAAAAGTTCTATAAAACCACTGGGCGAGGTGATGTCCCTAGCAAGTTAAAATTAGGTTTTGCTGTTAAATTTGCAAGAAAGCTTATGATTTGGCAAGTTATTTGCAGCTGCCGACAAAAAACCCTGGTTTTCGTGACACACAAGACTACACAGAAAAGAATTAATTTTGATATCACATCAAAGTGGATGCACTTCAAACTGCGTGTCAAAAATATGGACAAAATTATCATTAATACAGTGCATGAACTTACATTACGCTGATTTTACTGCATTTGTTTATTTTTGTGGCCATCAAAATGACATGATTGAAGTGTATCCTCTTGGACGTAATATTAAAATTTATTTTTGCTGTGTCTGGATTCCAAAATGTACAAGCAGGAGTGCCAGAAAAAAACGTAGTCTTCCGTACATTAAGGCTCACAATGGACCTGTAAAGTTTTGACCTGATTTGGCAAGCTGCCACTACAGCGGAGAAGTTCTACAGTGGTATCGAGACAACGGGGTGGATTTCTTCGAAAAGGACGTCAATCCACCCAACTGCCCTCAATTCCATCCAATTGAGAAATATTGGGCAATTGTCAAACAGAAGATGAAAAAGAGTGGAAAGGTGACTCGGGATGCGACCGAGATGAAGAGATGGTGGAACAAAATGGCCGCGCACAGTGCCCAAAACATGATGAGTGGTATTCGAAGCAAAGTTCGAGATTTCATCAAAACCACATCGGAATATTTTTTTTCGCTATTTTTCCTTTAAAGTGCAATAAATGACCTTCGTTTTGAGTACTCAACATTTTTATTTCATTAATATGGTTCCAAGATACATCCGTTTTTTTTTGCGTTCAGGTATTAAACTCAAGCTTTAAGTCTTGAGTATACTTATGTTATGTCTAACATACTGATGGCTTTAAACAATATTACACGAGAAGATTAAGCTTATCTTGACAGACTTTGGCCTAATATTTAATTCACCAGTTTACGAAAATGTGTAAAAAATTAATTCAAAATTGCTGGAATAATGTAATTGGCGATGACGGGGCAAAGATTTATAGTTTCTTCTGGGATTTTTAGATGGAACGAAAGCATAGGACCAAGTCCTACTGATCGATGGTTATGGGATTATACAACAGGAGTAAAGCGTTACAGAGTCGGCGCCAACGGCGTGAAGCAGCTCCGTCAGACATAAAATAAATCTTCTTCACTATTTTTCTCTGATCTGTACGTAAAAAAGTAATCATTTTGGAAATAAACAGGTTAACAGCTACTGCATCATGTGTCAGCTCTTCTGAGAAAATTATGAAACTAAAATGAAGCACTTGCGAGTTTTCTTTGTAGTATATAACGAATGGATGGATAGTCGCTTGTTGTACATTCCAATGATGAGATTGTACTTCATCCTGCAGTACAAAGGAGAAATTTTCAGAAAAATCACAAATGACTAAAAATTCCCTTAAAACAATTTGCAGTTTTTCGTTGTTTTTAAGAATTTAGATTGTTCTGTTTTAATGAAATCGTGCGGTATCAATTTGAGTAATTTTTCACAAAAATATGAAACAAAATCTTCAGGATCTTTAACAATAGTTTGTATATCACATCTATCAGTAGTTACCCACTGTTCGAATGACAGTTGATCAAACATTTTTTTTTCTAATTGCTGTGTTAAAAAAATCCTCAATTGACGAAATGTCTGGACAGTCCTCACAACATCTAAGATAACAATATGCTGTTTTTCTTTCACAAATTAAACTATCAGTCAAGGACTTTAAGTCATACAAAATATTGTACTTTTTAAACTATGTGTTATAAGAATTTTTTTCATGATTTGTACAAACGCAAACATTGTGCGATCCTGAACTGGTTAAAAGTTTGCAGTATTTAGGACGAAGTTTCGCGAATGAAGAAATTCCTATTTTTACCTCACTATTAATTTCCTTAAATATTTTGTATGCTTCTTTAAGTGTCGTCATCAATAACCTTTTCTGTATTGCTTTCCATTTTCTATCGTTTTTCACTGACACGTAGTCTCTCTGGCCAGGCATCACCCGACTTGTTTCATCGTCCTCAAAAAATTGAACAACAATTTCTTTCGTTGCATCATTTAAGCCATGGCCCGATCTTCTGTGAACTGCTGAATGTGCTCCATCAGTTTCAAATTATTCTTTAGCTGCTGTTGCGAAGTACCTTGTGGTGCTAAATTCATTCATTGTTTTTTGTATTGTCTATGACTTGGGCAACACAGGTAAAATCTGTAGTTTTTCACTATCACTGAAGAATTAGATGGTACCTAAGTATGCAATTAGGTACCAGACAGTGACTTGATTTTCAACGCTTGTCTGATAGAAAAAACTGTGAACTGTAAAGTTTAGGGAAATGGATTGGGCTTTTCCTTTAATAAATTTTCAAGGTTAAACACTCACGAACAACATCTCAAAAGGCTGAAAATTGCCCAAATTATGCGATAAGTGAATTTTAACCTACGAGTATCTCGAAAACAACAACTTTGGGCAATTTAAGCATTATTAGTTTTTTTGTTGTAAATTTAATGTGTTATAATAATAACACAATTTCAAAGATATTCGATAACTGTAAGTAGTATTTTGGAAAATAGTACTTTTTTCCAATAATTCATAACTTTTTTTGTTTATGAGTTGCCCAGCAAACGCAAATTGTCAATAAGTAGCACTTTATATAAACTACAATATAAATATAAAAAAAAAATAAAAAAAAAATGCAATAAAAATGTTGGTTTCGGCAATACCTTAACCTATTACACTAGTTTACAGCATTTTTGAACTCAGTAAGGTGATGATCATTTCCAATGCAAAATCCTACGCTGAATTCAATGCCGTGGTCAGAAAAAATTAAAGTAGAGCCATTTTTGAGATATACAAAAAATTTGATTTTTTGAATTTTGGACAAAAGTACGATTACTAAAATGTCAATATCTTTGGAACTAGTGCACCAATTTTATATCTT